TCTGTGAAAATTATTGGGTTGTCCCATAATTACTTTTACGTTTCGACGCTTGTTAATTCAACTGTTATTTAGTTAAAATATTCAATTAATCAACCATTTAATTTCCATCATGATCAATGATATGCGGCCGTTTACTGGGCAAAGATTGGTTGCCCTCATCTCAAAAAGAATGAGGCTGGCGATGAAAGAAGTCGCAGAGGTCATTTTGGAGTTCGCTGTAACCTTTAAACTTTTTCTGTCACGGATGCTGCTTCAGGGAGCGGAAGAAATGAAAATCCGATGGAGCAATATCAGGACTGTATGGTGGATGTGGTACTGTGGTCCAGCCCAGTTTCTCCAAAATGTGGCGAGTAGACTTTGCAATGGGAGGTCGAGCGTTATGCTAGAGAATAGCTACAATGAGTGGTTTTGGACGCTTCCCTCGCACTACTGTGGGCAACTTCCGGAGATGCTCTCCGTAGACGTCGGCATTGATTGTCTGCTTGTTGTTGAGCAATTCTCAACACAGCATGCCCTGCCAATTCCAGCAAACTGCAAGCATAATATCCGAGCATGAAACTCGGGCTTTGGTTGAGCTGGTGGGTTTTCAGAGCGAGGCAGCCAATCGGCGTGGAGCTTGTGGTTCTCGCATCTAATCTAAGACTCATCTCCAGTGATGATCGACTGGAGAGGTCCTGCCTGTGCGATCGCTGCAGAACATTCGCAGATGGTCACACGTGCAGCGCGGTCGTGGTCGGTAACTGCATGCGGCGTCCAACGAGACCTCACTTTGCGGTAGCCCATCTCATTTAGATGGTGAGCGATGCTGATACGGCCGTATACAAATGTAGTACTAGCATCCGGATGCACTTCTAGCTAGTGACGCACAGCATCTTCGTCAACGGTGACTGGCCGGCCAGAATGAGGGTGATCTTCAAAGCTCGTATCGCCTTTGTCTAAGCGCTTGAACCAGTGGCTCCCGGTCATAGCCCAAACGCGGGGTTGATCTACTCGGCAGCCTTCCTTACACTGGTTCTTAACTTTTTTCATTAAGCATAATCGAGCGCAACTGCCTCTGATCCATTTTGATCCTCGGTTTATTAACCCCTTGGCGCGCGTGCGCTTTTATACCTTCCATGTAAAGCTTCCAGAACCTTCTCCAACATGCCACGGCCTTACGACAATAACTCGGTTTGAAATAGAAAAAAGCTGAAAAAACAAAAGTGAGAACGAAATTATGGAGCAACCCAATATTTCTCTAGGCTCTGATGGTCAACAATGAAGGAGTTTGGCCAACTTACTAAGAAGGCTTTGTGCATCAGTGTACAAGCGGGATGGTCCTCGGTATCAAAGGGTGAGCTAGTGTATGTTGATCTAAGCATGGACAGTGTGTATAGCTTTGAGGAGTCAATCACTAGCCGATGTTTGAGGAGTCGTTAGCCTTTGAAATTTGGTTGAGTTATAAGTCTATTCTGGGCTGGCCTTGCCTTGGTTGTCGTCGTGTTTATTCCTATTCTATCGGATGCTGGGGTTGTTATTAGATCACTCCCTTCCCAGAGCTGTACGAATGGAAGATAAACAAATCGAACCGTCTTCAGTAAGTATTTATCTATCCGCTGCAGTGTTCCAGCCGCTTCTAACTGAATTTCAGTAAGCAACTCCCTGCGAAAGTTAGACAGGCTTTCTCGGTTAGGCGTTGTCATTAGCTTAGACTTAAGCATTAGCTTTATCAGCCTAGGATCCTTTCGATATGGTCAGACGGAACGGAATTTCTTTCGACCGATTAGCAAGTATGGTGTCGAAAGAGTTCCTGACGGATGTAACTTCATTGCTCTCAGTCATTTACGCCAGCTTACTAAGAGGAGGTTGTTTAAGACTCAGGGACAGCGTAAACATTAATAGTCAGTTCTTCGCCAGAGTTGCGAAATTACTCACGTTTGCTATCCTTTTCATACATTCTTTCAACTGGATGTCAGGAAGTATGCGCACCTCAAGTGATGAGTTACGGGGCCGAATCAACGACAGTAGTACGGCCAACTTGTCGTCAGCAGAGGTCTAGATTACCCGAAGAAATCGAGGTTCACCGTAACGCATTGCATTTAGGTGAAGTGGGACCCCTCTCAGTGTAGTAGACTAGACCGAATTGCCAATCGCTCCACAAGTAGACATTCACTGGTCACGGTCGTCCGACAGCTTCACTTTTGCGCTGCTAATAATACTAATAGCATTAATAACGATGTGTCAGCTGTACGTCGTAACGGTGCTTCGCTGCTGCTCGACCACCACCAGTCGCGTGCGAGCTGAGTATCCCGCGAGGAGGCTAACCAATACGCGGATTCGAACCGGTGACCTTATGGTTGCAAACCAGGTGAGCAGACCACGCAGGCACCAACTGACTAATTTTTGTGATACTAGTCTGTGGTTATGGAACATTTGTGCACGCAAAATTTAAAGCACCCTGGCGTCTTCTGGCCGCAGAGTTGAGGGTATTAACTAATACCGTTTGGTTGGTTGTGGAAGCTGAATCAAACTAATTTCCTCAGTGACGCTAACGGATTTGTTGGTGTTCTTTCCGACGTTTGCATAGAGGCAACCGATGTGCACCTTGCCCGGCCTTTCACTATGGTGGACGAGCTTGCATTCGGAGCTGCCATACTTGCTAATGGGTTGATTTCGGCCGCACCTAAGGTAGGAGTGAAATCAGGCACGCTGATTGCGTGTCCGCCTAAGGGATAGAGATGAGTCAAAGCCTTTACAAACATAGACGTTTTAGCGATTTGGAGCGTCTGGCCCTCTGCTTCGGATTGGAGTCGCAGTTTAGTGTTTCTGATCGAAGTACGAGCGTGGCCACATAAACCCCCGACAGCGTGACCCAATGATTTACCGTATGTACAGTTATCTTAGGCAACATCAAGCACTACTTTATAAGCACAAAAAACAGTTGAACCTTGTATTGGCTAAAAGCAGTAGACAGTAGGCTAATTTGTTTATCCATCTCATCTTTTTGACGGACGTTCCGGTACACTTGATGAAAGACGCTATCACCAACATAAGGACAATGGAACCTTTCTCTAGAGGGCAGCCGGAAACCTGCATCATGTTGGAAATGCTGGCTGTACTTCTTTGGCCACCTGCATATATAGATTATGGGTGGTTTGTGAGTAGTGCAATATTGTAGAAAGTAGAATCCTTGCTTAAACTTTGCACAATAATCTGCCACGACGGGGAATGGAATCCCGGACATACGGTGTACCGGCCCGCTGCTCTACCAACAGTGGTACCAAGAACTGACGATCAGATGTGCAATTTAATACATGCATTCTACTTGGTTCGAGACGCATTGCCAATAAGCTCCCAGTATCTGTCCTGGTGTTGCAGATTGGCTCACTCACTCGTCACTTCCCAAAGAACCGAAGTATCTGTCCTTCAGAAGTTCAAAGGGCGGTGGTAAATTTAGATTATTGGTGGTTTCGCGAGTAGTGTAATATTGTAGAAGGTAGAAGCCTTGATTAAACGTTGCACAACAATCTGCCTCTTCTACTTTCTACAATATTTCACTACTCGCAACACCACCAATAATCTAAATTTACCTTCGCCATTTGAACATCTGAAGGACAGATATTTCTGTTCGTTGGAAAATGCCGAGTGAGTGAGATAACCTGCAACTACAGGACAGATTCTGTGAGCTTATTGGCAATGCGTCTCGAACCAAGCAGAAGTCACGTATTATATTGCACATCTGATCGTCAGTCCTTGGTACCTCAGTTGGTAGAGCAGCGGACCGGTGCACCGTATGTCCGGGGTTCAGTTCCCCGTCGGGGCAGATTACTGTGCAAGGTTTGAACATGGCTTCTACTTCCTACCACACCTGCATATGTTCTTGGTCACTGTGACCACTGTGTTCAGTATCTACACAAAACTAAGCAGTGCCCGTAGTCTAAGGCGGATTGGTCTACTGGTCGACCATTCAAATCTGGTTGGATGCGAGTCTGGAAAACAGAACGGAAGTGCGCGCAGATAGATGCGAATGCTGGACAAACAAAGGAGCACACCTGTTTCCCTAGCCTATGTAAACACCCTGTATGGGCTAATCCGGGTTTGTTGGACTGCCAGAGATCACTCTATCGAAAGCAGTAACACAGTTGGTTCTGTAACAAAAAGGCACTGTTTCTATGCGCGTGTGTGGGCACGAAGTTTGATACCGTGATCATTGCGAAATACGTTAGATATAACTAACGCTATCCAAATGAGCGCACGTTGAATGTACTGTCGGGAGATGAAGAGCAGAAACTGCACAATAACGAAGGAGATAAAAGCGATGCGGCTGCACGACACGTGAGATCAGTAAATCACGCAGGGCACTGTAGTCAGTGGTTTATGGAAGCATGATAATCAGAAGTCACTATAGGTCTATGTTCCTTGAAAACACCATTTGAGGTCTGGCATATTAGGTGGAATGGTTAAATAATTAGCTGCATATATTGCCCCAGCATACTAGCTGATGTAACTGTGTGGCGGTTTATGTAAAGTATATCCACAAAGAATCGTAAACAAGGCTCAGATGAATCCTGTTTCGAATTCCTTCCTGGTAGCGGAAGGAATCTTGGCTAAACTTAACCCTCGCTGTATGTTGAGAGCCATGACTGCAACGGTTGCATCAGAATTTTGTGCGAACCAAGTTTATTCACAATTCTGACTGTGTCGTAACACAGTTGTCGAAGCCGTGTGCAAGAAACACCGTGGATTATTCCAGGTTGATAGTAGTTGGGGCGATTATCATCTGATTCCTTTTAAGTGGCACTTGCAAGTGGGACAAATCAGAAGCCATTTCACCAATCTCAGCTCAAACCTAAACTCAACGGCTTCAACCCGCGATTGCTTTTCTTTCAGGCGTTTACTGGGAATTTGGGCAAAATGCATTTAATGTACGCGATCACAATGTTGAAACGTCCCTACACGCAGACTTTGATGGTTTATTGATTAAGTGTGATTCAAACTGAAGTAGCCAGTGGCAGTTAATCATGAACGAAGGCGGAGTTACCGGTTGCAAAATGACGAAAGTCGTTTTTCCTGTGACTGTGTTGTACGCGTTACTACATACTGTACTGTGCCAACCTATAGATATTGAGAGACAACAGGTCGGGTTAAAAATCTACGAAGCTTTGAGCACTTCGAACCCAGATGTACTAAAACCGTACAATGCTGAACTGTTTAAGCCTTTGGATGGACCATTTTTTAGACCCTTGTGGGAGCTATTTCCACCGTACAACGCTTTCGCTGTGCTTGGTTTCCCACCACTGAATGCATCAGGTTCAGAAACAACGGTTCCAATGATCCGGGAGAATCAGACTTTGACACTTTACGTGAGTTGCCGGTGTATGACTTGTCTATTCGTTGTCAGCATAGCATTTCATACGAGCTGCGTACATTCGATGATATTCAGTCGATTTCCTTCTTGAGTCACCGAAAGCCGAATTAGTATGTAACCGTTTAAAAAACTGTATGGAGAAAATTCTTAATTCCTGATATTAGCTAGATGCCATAAGCGAGGATTTTGCGGATGTAACTACATGATGACCCATTAAAAATTATGTGCCGGCTAAAGATTTGTAGTAAACGTAATGCCGATATAACAGCTGATGGTCTCCTAGGAAGTTTGTAGTTGCACTAATTCCGGTTGCCAAGCTTGAGATTTTGATAAGGCTCAATGCGCAGCTGACATCACACACATGAAGAGGTACAAAAGTTCCTCACATCTAGCTTATGATGTGTCCGTTAAGTTGAAAATGTTATTACTCCCATATACACAAAACATTTGTTGATAGATTTCAGCAACCCAGATTTCATAATGGCTAATTGTATCCCGGCTTTGGAGTTAGGCAAGCTATATATACATATATATATATATATTTATATATTTGCAAAAGTCTGCTAACAGACATAATGCCATCAGAAACCATGGGATTCAAACGAAGGTACAGAAACAGCAAAATAAAACACAACACAACAATGTCCATGGTTTCCTCAGAGGGCGAGATACTACCCGGTTGCCCAAGCCGAAGAAGGGTGTTGACTTAGGGGACACCACCCCGAGCCTTTGGCTGAATAGCCTGCCCGCAAGGCAGCGGAGCGAATTCAGCGAATCGCGCCCATTGGGAGCCGGTGACTGATTGCTCAGTTCATACGCCTTTCGTTTGTTCCTTTGTCAAACAGGGGCCCAATGCTCCCCAGAAGTACAGCATAAGGTTGCTGGAATACAATGCTTCGCCAGGATGAAGCAAGGGGCAGTGACTTTATTTAGTGCCGAGTCACGTCCGCCAAGTCACAGTGTGGTTAAACGGACATATGTGGCTTTTTATAGGGAGAACGCTTGCCAGGCGAAAACCCACCACGTCCTGGAACACTGCCACCCAACCATTTGCTGGAACGGGAAAATCCCGAACCACTCAGCTGGCACCACGAGGAGGTTGTTCGGCAAGCAGTTAACAATGTGGACCAGTCGCTTCTCTGGGATTTTTGTTAAGAAGTTCGATCCATTACAAAATGAAGTGAGAATATATAGGGTGCTCTATTCGTATCCTCAGGTATCGGGGTTTTTGACCAATTAAGCCGCGTTGTTTAAACATGAGTTATTGCCATTTGGAACGACAGTGACGCGTACTATGGAACGAATTCCTCCTGTCTGTCTACGCTGTAGATTCCGAGGCTCAAACCAGGTATTAGAATTTATGCAACAATTCGAAAGCGCAGAAGCCTACTCAGTTCAAGAAGCAGCATTAACCTTCAGAGAATACGGAACCCAAACATAGTTTTTACAGCTAACGGAGCCCCGAGGGCTGCAGCCAAATTAGCATAATTATTTGGCATAGACAGATAGTCCCTGATCTCCATAAGTTGATTTGCCTCCGCATTGACGGCGCGATTCACTTTCATATTTGGGAATAATCATGAAGCTGTAGGAACCTTATGGTACACAGCCGCTATCAAGTTCGACATTATGGATTACAATGTGAAAGTTATACGCAATCAACTCGCCATTCTTTGCGACATGCGTCCCGCCGGTTTTGATGTGCCCAAGATGTTTACACCCAAATCGATTTCAGGCGTCAATTTGTCGTTCCTTCCTAACCTATTCACCAGATTACCGCCTAAATATACACTACCTAAATTTTTGGAAAAGTTTGGCAGTTAAGTAAACAAATTGAATTAGTAACATCCGTGTCTTGATTGGATTGTTGCTGCAACTTTCACAGGACAACCACAGAACGCGTGCATCTACAGAGAGTCCATTGAGGGCTTTCGCTGCAGCACCTACAACTCCATCTACATACCTCATATCCAGTGTAAACCAGAGAGAACAGCACCGGGAGATATGTGGATAAGAGCCACGTTTCGTCAACTGAACTGACCCACCCTCACTCAACATGCACATTCATGTGTACCAGACGTACACCAGGCAGTGGCTGGGCCTTAACACGTTCTACACTAGATGCATGGAACCACTCTTTGAGCTTAGCATGATAACGAGGACGGTGCATACCGCCGAGCGTGCTACTTCTATCTCCTATAGCCAGTATAACAAAGGTGGCGACATTTGCCAGGTAGATATTTTGTCAACATTCACGTTATGCACCGCCAGGTGTTGCATATCATACAATAGTGAGGCACATGTCCTACTGACATTCGGTTAAATTTAGTCTGACTGAGACGATAAAGCGCTGCATTAACTTCATTAGCCTCGGTCGCGGTTAGTGCACAATGGCTGTGCAAATCCTCTATAATCATGTACACTGAAATGCATTGATTCAAACGTGTGTATGAACTATCACAGAATGAATGCAAAGATATGATACCAACGGAAAAGCAAAATAGCAACGTGAATCAGTTTGAGTTGGGGTAAGTATAACAACCCCATATGCATCAGGTCATTGGAAATCGCATGTTACAAGTACTTTTGGTTATTAGGTTAGATTTGGATGTGAAGCTAATTGACATTTGTAAACTATGAAAGAGACGTGGACACAAAATGTAGATGCAGACCGATATAGGAATTACAGGGGGCGTTTAATGGTATAGGTAGAAATTCGTCACATCTATCCTCACTCAAACAACCGTCACACGCCCGAAAAAGCACAGTAGGCGTGTTGCATCCTTTCGTCAATCGTCAGCAGTGCTCATTCCATCGGAAGCTGGTAAGGCTCGAAGCAGCAACTCGAATGTTGCCAGTCCGTGATTGAGACCACTGCGCTACGGGGACGTCAATGACCACCATAAATAAGTTACTAGATATGATATAGCGCTGTTCACTATCCACTGACTTACTCGTTACTGCCGTGCAGAGGAGAGGGTAGCCTCTTCACCAAGAGAGGAGCTTACCAAATTTAAGCCACCAATTAACTTATGGTATTAGAAGTAGTTGATTCCAATCAGTAGCCGGATGTGTGCGGTCCGATTGGCTGGCTCCTCTAAAGCTTCGAAGTCGCGCGGGACTAATAGATGTCTATTCATCATCGCTGCCTACGCGCCCACAAACTGTAGCGATGATTCGGTAAAGAACGACTTCTACCGCCAACTGACTCAGCTCCTTCGCCACAGAAGAAGCACGAACACTGTTGTTCTGGCGGGGGATATGAACGCACAAGTTGTAAAGTTGTCCACTGATGAAATGCATCTGGGCGGTAATCACGGTGTAGGCTCCCGTAATGATAACGGTGAGCGGTTAATTCATTTGTGTGAAGATGCTCGTTTATTTCTTGCGAGCACTAATTTCCGACACAGCACCCGCCGTAGGGTGACTTGGCGCCCACCAGCCTCGAACCAGCCTTGGACACAGATCGATCACATTGCTATCAGTTACCGCTGGAGAGGCTGCATCCAGAATCGTCGCTCGATTTGGAGCACATGTGTAGACACCGACCATGCACTTGTATGTGCTGACATGCGGATGCGCTTTGGCGGACGCCCACGAAAATGCTGTGAGCGCATTGACACCAGCCAACTGACAAAGCCAGCTGTTCTGGATGCGTATCAATGTACGCTGACATGTGAGTTGAGTACTCGCTCACTGGAGACAATTGATGGTCACTGGTCACATGTTCGCCAGACCTTACTAGCAGCGGGCAAATCCTCATGTGGTATGTCTAAAAGCCCAAATGGACATTGGGTCTCTTCTCGGTCTCTGCAACTTATCGACGCTCGCCGGTATATCCCGGCTAGAAGCGAACACAATGAAACTCGCAACGAGCTCCGGGCAAAACTCCGTGCTAGCCTGAAGAGAGACCGCGAATCTTGGTGGTCTCATCGTGCGTCAGAGATGGAAGTGGCCGCTGCCCTTGGCAACCATAATAAGTTATTCGGTCTGATACGGGAAACGGGCAGCAGGAGACCTGGCGTTAGTGAAACAATTTGTGATGAGAGTGGACAGCCTATCCACAATTTGTCAAAACGTTTGGAGCGTTAGGCTGAGCATTTTGAAAAGCAATTTAATCGGCTAGACTTGTCCGATTCGCCGGTCACTGATCGCCCTGCTCCGTGGGCTGTCCCTTTGGATCCACCCTCTCGCTCAGAAGTCGAACGTGAGATCCGACTGTTGAAGTTGAACAAAGCCGCGGGACCAGATGATCTTCCTCCAGCCCTCTTCAAATTCGGAGGCCCTGCTCTTGTGGATGCTTTGCATGAATTACTAGTGAAACTGTGGGAGCAGGAGACTGTCCAAACCGACTGGAGCCGCTCCGTTATTGTTCCCATCTTCAAAGGTGGCTCTCGCTCGGAATGCGGCAACCATAGAGGAATCTGTCTGATCTCCATCGCCTCCAAATTACTCGCCTCCATAATTCTTCACAGACTGACTGGCGCTCGTGAAAGCCAGATTCGTGAAGAGCAAGCCGGGTTTCGTCGAAGTCGTGGCTGCATTGACCACATCTTCACTTTGCGTCAGTTGTTGGAGCACCGCCACACATATTGGCGGCCCACCCTAGTCGTGTTCCCTGACATCAAAGGTGCCTTCGATTCGGTTGATCGATGTGCCCTTTGGAATTGTCTACTCAGGAAAGGTGTGCCCGAGAAATATGTAAATATTATCCAAGCATTATATGTGCGTAGCACGGGCAGAGTGAGGGCTTACGGCAAGCTTTCGCCACCCTTTAATATCTCCAGCGATGTGAGACAAGGATGCCCACTGTCACCTTTCCTCTTCAACTTCGCTATTGACGAAGTCATGGAGATTGCATTTACAGGACATGACTTGGAAGGTGTGGAGCTACTCCCAGGAGAACGACTTCTTGACTTGGAGGATGCAGTCGACATTGCCCTCATCTGTGACAGCTCCCAGACGTGCCAAGCCGGGCTGCACAGATTAGCACTG